TGCTGGGCCCAGTCCCCAGGAGAAGGGCGGGGAGAGGCCCCCACGCCCCCTGCTCCCTGCCCAGCCTGGCTGCAGGCATTTGGACAGGGGTTCCCCCCCTCGGGGATGCCCCGCAGTAGCAGGAACCCCAGCTCCTACATGAGCCCTTCACCTTCCCCCCTCCCTGGCCCTGCCCAGGGCCACACAGGGACCCAGGAGGCTGGGAAGAGAAAAAAGGGGGGATAGAGGAGGTAGGAGCAACACAGGATCCCCCCGAAAGGGCCAGAGGCACTGGCTGTGACTCCAGGCGGTGCAGGGCCGGTGGGGAAGGAGAGGCAGCAGCAGGCAGGCAGGTTTGGCAGGACCCAGTGCAGAGGTGGATGTTTCTGTCACCATCTCTCTCACTGCCAGACCCGGCTCTGACACTGGCAGCGACGCGTCAGCCTCCCACGAGCGCAGGGGGAGAGCAAACCGCTTTCAAGAGACAAGGCAGCAGTTTTAAGAGAGAGGGGCAGCTCAGAAAGCACAGCATGCTATGGCAGTAGGTACCAAGTCAGTGTGGTTTATTTTTTTAAAGCCAAATATAAACAGGAATGGAAAGGAACCAAATCACTTCCAGCCTCCAGCTGTCCTAGATCCAATAAAATACCTGTTTTTAAAAAAAAAAAAAAAAAAGAAAAGAAAAAAAAAAAAGAAAGGAGACAGACATCCCCATCCTGCAACCTCAGCTGTCAGTGTCAGGGGACCCTGGGGCTCAGGGATCCTCACCCTTCAGGCTTGGGGCAGCCAATTTTTCATCTAATGTGTCTTTTTGCCCAGCCCAAGCATCTCCAGCCGAAAGGAGGAGGGTAAGAGAGAGGGGTAACACATGCACCACTCTTTCATCCTTGCCTACGCAGGCAGTCCCTGAGTCCTCGCGTGGGGGAAGAGCCACCACCAGCCAGGCAGGTAGGGCCCACGGAGCTGCGACATCCCTTGGAGATGCTCAGAACTAGTCAGGACAATACCCTGAGCAACCTGGTGTGAATGTGGCCTGGAAGGGACCAGAAGAGCCCCAGGGGTCCTCCTCCAGCCCAGCCCCAAGGGGCCCTTCCTCCCCTCGCCCTCCTGCGCTCAGCAGCAGAGCCCCAGCGGATGCAGCTCTCCACGGGCCGGAGGCAGGGCTGGCTGGTGCGCAGGGTCTTGGGGCCTCTGTTTTTCCTGTAAAAGTTGGTGCCAAACTGCCATGGTTTGTCACAGAGGCCACGCTCCATGCCCCTGGCTCTGGGGGCTGTCAGGGCACTCTGTAGCGTGTCCCCGCCGGCCCTGTATGTCGGGATGAGTCCAGCGGGGTTGGAAGGGCTTCCCAAGAGGATGCTGCACCATCACCTGTCCCTCCCCTGCCCCAGGGAACACACCTTGCCGGTGGAGGGCCATGAGCAGCTCTTCAGCCTCTCTCACAAGCAGCAGCACATCAAGACATCGTCCTGTGGGGGAGGACAAACCTCCCCAAAGAGGCTGTTGCCCACAGCCCTCACTCCCTGCTAGGGGAAGTCTGGGAACGGCACTACCTTTATGACCTACCTGAGCCTCAAGACCCAGTGGCACCACTCAAAACCAGCCCACGACTGCTGCTCAGTTCTCTGTGCCGTTTTCCCAACGATCCAGACAGCGATTACTACTTGCTTCCTGCCCCCTCCCAGCCTTCTCTTTCCCCAACTCCGCAGTTTTTTCCTTCACCCTCCAGAAAGCCATTTTAACACGATAGCACCCTGGCTGTTCTGTCCACAGGACAAATGGCTGGCGACACAGAAGGAAAAGGGAGAAGATGGTATTAGCTGCAGGAAATCCACCGCTCTGCCCCCAGGGGACTCGGGACCAGAGGACGTTGGTACTGCACCAGGCCACCCAGGACAGTCTTTCTGCTCGGTGGGATGGCGGGCGAGTGAAGTCAGATAAGAGAAGGACGGCAATTCCGCCTTCTCCAGAAAGCAAAAAATCCCTTTTCCCAAGTGAACTCTGCACAGACACGACAGGACAAATCACAATGTATATGCATATGTATCGTCTTTAACATACGTACATTCACACAGACCCAGACATCACTCACGGACACAAGGAACGTTTGGGATCCACCGCTGTCTTCTTGGGGAAATGGGGACTGCAAAGATGCCTGTGGCTGCCAGGAGGGGAGGAGGGGGGACAGCAGAGCCGCCTGATGCACAGGCAAACACCTAGTGTGACCTCCATCAACCCAAAGAGGTGTTTCCCGGCTGTGCTGGACCTCAGATGCTCAGCCTGTGGGAACTGATGTGCATTTCAAGAGGTTGCTCAAGCAGGGAGAGAGAGATATCCCTGTGGGTTTTTTTCAGTTTTCCCTGGCCACCCCGGATGCTTGGGCCAAGGTCTCCCACAGCTGCAAGTACTTACGTGGGAATTCCTCCTCGCCAAGACCAAAGACTCAACCCACAGCATGCAACGCAGCCTACCCCACAGGCAGCAGCAGGAAGACAGAACGAGGCAACGGGCATGCCTAACCAAAGAGAATAAAAAGGGGGAGCCTTTACACACCGTTTCCTTTCGTTTTATCTGAAGTCCCAAAATCGGACTTGGACCCTGTGCTGATGTTGTGCGGTGCCTATTGAAATGCCTCCAGCCCCTTCCGAATTTGGAACGTACGGGGCTGTGTCGGCGCTCCTGGACGACACAAACACCCGCATAACCATGCACAGACACGGTCTGCACAGCAAAGCAAACAGGCAGACCTGCCTGAGGACAGAGTTTCTCTACAAAATGTTTGCCGAAGGGATGAGGGGTTTTAGTTACAGGGCTGGCTGGGCTGCCTTGTGTACGTAAGTCACTTGCAGTACATCTCTCCCCTATTGCACAATAACACCCTCCTTTCGCACCCCATGCAAAAACGGAAATGGTTAAGAGTCTGTGGGTGGGGGAAGTGTGCGTGAACCGCGTGCAGAGCAGCTCCCACACTTCCTCCTTGTCCAGACTCTTTTCAGAGTATAAATACAGGGTGGCCCCAGAAAGATGGGTATAATGTGCTCTGCCGGCTACTCTGGGACCCCCGTCTTAAAGTACACAGCATGTTTTCAGGTGGGTTAGATATGCACCGCCCAGCACCAGTTTTCAGAGAAACTTTGGGCAGCTTTCTGTTGACTCCTGTGGCTTTTTTACAGCACGATTCTACCTGGCATTCAGGCAGCACCTCTTGCTGAGGACTCCTACAAGCTCGGTACGTCGCAATTCTCTTGATGCGCTTGAGAGGGGCAAGGTGTCAACAGAGTGCCCGTTTGACAGAGGGGAGCATAAAGCCCCAGGAAACTCACCGGTATCTATGCTGTCGCAGAGCTAGCCTCATCAAAGCTGAGGCTAGGAATGGGGAGCCCAAGCCCTGCTCCTGCATGCCCTCTTCTCAGCTACCAGCATCAGCCTTGTGACTCAACAGTCCCATTCCCAACCTTGCAACCCTGCCAGGAATCTTTTGGGGTCTGCTCCAACCCTCAAAAACAAGAGATGGATTTTAAGATTTTGCCTGATGATTCCCTACCCTACTTTCAGTTGGATCCATTCTGCTTCCATAGAAATTCTTCAGTCACTTCCTCCTTCCCTCCCTCCAAGTTCATTTCAGTACAGAATTCTTTAAAGACATAGTTCTACTTGAAGTACAGCACCTTCACCATTCCTCAGCGCTAACCACACAGGGCTCTTCCTCCTAAAGCACCAAGATTCCTGCAGACCACCACCACTCCGCTGGCAAAAGTGCTGGGCTTTCAGTATTTATTTCTCATATTTAATCAGTGCTCAATATTTCAATAGGATGGCATGCAGTTCAAGCATTCTTTTAAGAGGAGGGCTGTGTGATTTCACATGGCGGTACCTGAAGTGCTATAATAGACTAAGAGCATCCATCTAACTCTACAGGGCACAGTACCTAATTCTCATCTCTGACATAACTACTGTATTGCAACTAGAGAGTGACAGGAGACACTAGCTGCAGCTAGTCTATAGACGTTGCTTCAGAAACCACAAAGATATGCAGGTTCTGTGTGTGCACAAACACTGTGTCGCTGCACCCCATAATACCTGAACCCAGAGGAAAATCTTTTCTGCAGTGGTTCTGTCTGCGCCTTTAAGTCATGTTGAAATTCATGTGCCTTGAGCTGCTAAAGCTC